GGGCCTGGGGGAAGGTGGCTGTTTGTGATCTTGGCCTTTCCTTGGGAACAGGGACAGGATTGGCTTGATTCCTGGGGCATCTAGATCTGATGCTTGGGTGACCATGTGGATACCTGTACACCCAGGAAGGGGCCTTCCTGCCTATGAGTGCCCATCCCGTGGCTTCCAGTAGATCAGAGGTCTAATGGGTACCTCTGTGCAGGGCTCTGTGATCTGGGGCATTTCCGGCTTCTCTTGGAGCAGCATAGCTCAATGCTGACGTTTCCACCTGACAAGTGACTGGATCACTGGGGGCCTGACGTTGGAGTTTATATGGAAACTGATGGGTGTCTGAACTCCACTGGGACGGGGGTGGGGATTTTCTACCATCCTCCCCTACAAGCTCTGCTCCTGTGCCTGGGGCCTGGCATGTCGAGGCAGGTGGATGGCACAGGACAGTTTCCTGCCTAGGTGGGTGAGGGGGTGGAGGTGGTACCAGGCACTCCAGGTGGGGTGTAGGGCTGGAAACCTTTCTCTTGGTCAGTTAACCCTAACACCCCTGTGCCAGAACCTCCCTGCTTAGAGGCAAGGGGCAGAGCCATCAAATTGCTGGGTTAGCTTAAGCAAGTTGGTTGTCTACCTGGGCTCCAGTTTTCCCATCCACAAAATGGGGCTGTTGAGAGGACAGTGAGGTTGAGCAGGCTGGTACCCAGCACAGAGCCTGGAACCTACTTTGCTTCCTTTAGAGCATGCCTTGCCCTGTCTTTTCTGCTCAGGCTGTCCGTGTCTTTCTTCTCTAGCGCCTCTTAGCTCTCTCTGCCTCAGCTGGGCCTGGTTCTCCCCGCACAGGAGGGAGGGGATGTGGGTGGGACCACAAGCGCTTCAGCAGTTGCTTTCTGCCTGTTGATTGGCTCCCCGTGAAGCAGGGGTGTGGCCATCACCTTATAATAGGGATGGCGTATTAGCCTCTCAGCCTTGCTGAGCCTTTGTCTGAGCGTGCTCAGCGTCTTTTTCTTTCCTTCCCCGCAGCTGCTGCCGGCGTCCAGCTGCCAACTTTCTGCCTGGATCTCTGTTTCTTCATTTCACCGGTCTCCTCAGACCGAAGCCCTCCGGGTATGTGACAGCCATGCCCGTGGACACGCTGACTCCCGGAGCCCCCGCCGCCCCCGCCCTACCTTTGCGCCTGCGGACCAAGGTCCCCGGCTACCTGCTACGGAGGCCAGCAGACTGTGGAGCCCGGAAACCGAGTGCTGTGGAGCGCCTGGAGGCCGACAAGGCCAAGTACGTCAAGAGCCTGCATGTGGCCAACACCCGCCAAGAACCTGTGCAGCCGCTGCTGTCCAAACAGCCACTCTTTAGCCCCGGGACTCGCCGCACAGTGCTCACGCCCAGCCGCCGATGTCTGCCTGGCCCTGGCCGCCGACCCCAGCTGGACCTGGACATCCTCAGCAGCCTCATCGACTTGTGTGATAGTCCCGGGTCCCCTGCTGAGGCCAGTCGTACCCCTGGACGGGCAGAGGGAGCCGGCCCGGCCCCTCCAGTCACGCCTCCACGCCCGCCACCCAGCACGGCTGCGGTCCGCCGAGTGGACGTCCGCCCCCCGCTGCCTGCCTCACCTGCCCTCCCCTGTCCGTCACCCGGCACTGCCGCCGCCTCCAGCCCAGCCTGGCCACCGGGTTTGCAACGCTCAAAGTCAGACTTGAGCGAGCGCTTCTCGAGGGCAGCAGCTGACCTTGAGCGCTTTTTTAACTTCTGCGGGCTGGACCCAGAGGAGGCACGGGGGCTGGGTGTGGCCCACCTGGCACGGGCCAGCTCGGACATTGTGTCCCTGGCCGGGCCCAGTGCTGGACCGGGCAGCTCTGAGGGGGGCTGCTCCCATCGCAGCTCTGCTACTGTGGAGGAACGAGCTGGGGAGCGCGCCCCATACGGCGTGTCGGTGGTAGAGCGCAATGCCCGAGTGATCAAGTGGCTGTATGGACTGCGGCAGGCGCGAGAGACCCCAGCAGCTGAAGGCTAGGCTCCCCTGGACTCGGAATTTGCCACAGGACAGATCTTAGAGAGGTACTGGTCCCTTGACCTCTCTTGCATCCATTCCCTGGCTCTGGGCAGAACAGAGGCTGCTCCCTTGGGTGAACCTGTATGGAGGCTTAGGGGCTGGACCAGCATCCTCTGGCAAGGACTGAAGCCCCCACCCCCACTCCCAGGTGCAAGGATTTTTGACATGAATGTACTGCTGCTTGGTTTCTCTTCCTCTCATGGGGCTGGATTTGGGGCGCTTAGCCCTCCCCACTGAGAGCGAGGGGCCCAGGGATCTCACCAAGCCTGTTTACCCAGTAGTTCTGTTTCCTCCTTCCTTCCTTGGCCTCTGNGTGTGGCCCACCTGGCACGGGCCAGCTCGGACATTGTGTCCCTGGCCGGGCCCAGTGCTGGGCCGGGCAGCTCTGAGGGGGGCTGCTCCCACCGCAGCTCTGCTACTGTGGAGGAACGGGCTGGGGAGCGCGCCCCATACGGCGTGTCGGTGGTAGAGCGCAATGCCCGTGTGATCAAGTGGCTGTATGGGCTGCGGCAGGCACGAGAGACCCCAGCAGCTGAAGGCTAGGCTCCCCTGGACTCGGAATTTGCCACAGGACAGATCTTAGAGAGGTACTGGTCCCTTGACCTCTCTTGCATCCATTCCCTGGCTCTGGGCAGAACAGAGGCTGCTCCCTTGGGTGAACCTGTATGGAGGCTTAGGGGCTGGACCAGCATCCTCTGGCAAGGACTGAAGCCCCCACCCCCACTCCCACGTGCAAGGATTTTTGACATGAATGTATTGCTGCTTGGTTTCTCTTCCTCTCATGGGGCTGGATTTGGGGCGCTTAGCCCTCTCCACTGAGAGCGAGGGGCCCGGGGATCTCACCAAGCCTGTTTACCCAGTAGTTCTGTTTCCTCCTTCCTTCCTTGGCCTCTGTCCTTTGCTGACTTCCTCTTCCTTACTCAGCGGACTCTGGTTCCCTGGGAACTCACCCTGGGGATGGGGAAGGGAGGAGGGGGTCTATCTGCTGCTTTTCCTGGTTCTTGGCAGGCGGCCTAAGTGGGTAGACTACAGGAGGGACTGGTTAGGAGACTGTACTGCTCTGGCTTCCCTCCCCTTGGTTAATAAACACAAATGCTTGTTTCTCAAGGGCTGGGCCTTCAGACTCTTCTGTGTTCACAAGGGGGAAGGGTGGGAGAAGCCTGGGGTGGGAACTTCAAAACTTAGTGATGGTTCATTCCAAGATCTGGTGGGACATGAGGTTGGTGACTGGCCTGGCCTGAGACTTGCCCCATAGGGGGTTGTTATAACTCTTCTGGGAGGCTGGCAGACCCCCTTCACAGAGGAGGAATCTGAGGTCCAGCCACAGAGTGGGCTGGGATGGAGCTGAGACTAGGATTGAGGTCCTTCCCCTGCAGCAGGAAGGGGACCTGCAGGGGAAAGGCTGACAGGGTGCATGGACCCTCCCCCACCCCCTGCCGAGTTCCCAAGGGGGCAAGAAGCTCAGACAGTGCAAATTCTGAATCGAGGTCACACAGGCCATAGAGTGGGAGTAAAAAGTGGGCGTTATTGGAGGAAGGGGGACTTGGGGTGGACAACACAAAACAAGTGGCCTTGCCCTCAGTTCTGTGTGATCCTGGACAAGCCAGTCTCCCTCCTGGGCCTCAGTGGGAGAGTTAGGTGGCACAGTCCTCCTTGGGTTGGGACACTGTTGCATTCCGGGCCCTTCCTGCTGTATTCCAGTATTCTGGTATTCAGGGCTGGCATGGGCTTTGAGGTTTCAGCTTCTTCAGTCTCCCTGCGGGTTAGTTACCCACTAGGAGACCCCACCCTTGGCTGGTGGAGCAGCCAGGGTTAGGGCCAGGCAAACAAAGGGTGAAAGCCTGGGGTGGCCTCTCCCGCCCCCCAGGGTGGGAGTGGGGAGGGACTGGGTGGCGCTTCCTCTCTCGCAGGCTGCGTTGGCTGCAGCACTCAGAAACAGGAAGTTCTAATGGGGGCCTTGGTGACAGGTTTGATGTAGGTTTTATTTTAAGCATAAAGAAGAGATTCCTGCTGGGCCGTTGACACATATCCAGGTCAGCCCATCTGTCTGTCTGTCTGTCGCCTTGGTGACAGGTTTGATGTAGGTTTTATTTTAAGCATAAAGAAGAGATTCCTGCTGGGCTGTTGACACATATCCAGGTCAGCCCATCTGTCTGTCTGTCTGTCCACAACCAGCCCCCCAGGGCCTGGAATGGACCTGGGCAGTTTGGGGAGAGAAGGGGAAATTAGTTTACAGAAGAGGATGATGATCAAGCTCATAAGAATGGAGTCTACAGATACAGATGGGGAGACTGAGGCACAAGGAGGGCAATGGCCTGCCCACAGGCACCCAGCAGTTTGGACAGTACAAGAGCTGGACCTCCTGGGTCTCTGTGCTAAAGGAGTGAGGGTCAGGGTAGTAATCTAGACAGGTTCTGCAGAAGTGGCACCCTTTAAAGTGTCGAAGACTGCCCATTGTGGCAACCCTGCTGGAATTCCGTGCTAGTCATTGCCCCTTGCTGTAGCCTGGCAGCCCCTTCCCCCCGACCCCAGCAACCCAAGAAGGTGGATGGTTTAGCTGTGTTTTACATGTGAAGAAATTGAGGTTCAGGTCACAGGACTGGTGGGTGACCCCTTCTGCTGGGCTCATCCTGTCACTCAATCCTCAAGGTGACCTTTTGAGGGTTGGGTGTATTGTCTTACAGTAGGAAGTTAAGCTCTGGGAGGGGTAGTGACACGTGGGCTGTCACACAGCATATGTGCGGGACAGCCTGGGGTCCCCATAGTCAGTGGCAGTCCAAATCCCTGATTGTCCCAACACATACCCCACCTCTCTTCCTCATCCTGGAAGCCTTTTCTACTAGTCATTTTATTATTGAGCACCTACCAGGTGGTCAGCACCGAATAAGACAGACATGGTCTCCGCCCTAGTCTAAGGGAAGAGAACAGGCAACTAAGCAGCAAGCACACAAATAGCCATATAACATAAAGCAGGTATATCCAGGGGCTTCTCTTTTCCGGAGCTGGGCCAGGGGCTAGCTGAGAAGGGCATTGGGAAGGTCTGTTGGGAAGAGAGCAGGGAAGTGGAGAAGGGGCCAGACCTAGCCTTGACTTCTCCAATAGTGCTGCGTGGTCCTGGAAGGGCTCCCCCTCTTCCAGGATTCTGGAGCCTACCAGTCTTCCACGCAGAGATCTGTGGATAGAGCAGGCCCATCCCCCCCACCAGCCTCAGGGGTCTGCAGAAACAGCCCCTCTATTGTTCTGTCTCCAGCTGGAGCGTGAGGAATAGTGAGCCGCAGCCAATCTTTTCCACCCCTCCTAGGGCCTGCAGCTGCTGCCCCGTCTCCTGGGGCTGCCCGGCCTCCAGCCTCCTAGCAGCTCCCCAGGCCAGCCTGGCCCCAGCTGCCTAGCCCCTAATTAGGCAGAGATGAGATCTGCTCCCTGATCTATTTCCCACCAGCTAATTATATACACGTGGGTTTGGGAAACAGGCAACCTGGCTGCTCACTTCTGTCATGAAGGTGTGATGGGCCCTGGGAAGGTTATCCCCCTGACCTCAGTTTACCCTTTTGGCAGGGGATGAAATGTAGCTGCAGGGCCCTGTTTCTGTCCCTGGTGAAATGGTTGTTTCTGCTACTGAGGCATTCAAGGAGGCCAGGGGGAGGAGACCCCCATCCTGCCTGACATCCTGTGTACAAGGGAGCAGGGAGGGGCTGAGGAATTAGGCTACAGGTCCTGACCCTAGGATCCCAGGGTAGGGTGGGGACGCAGTCAAGAGCATGGTGACAATTGCCCCCAGATAGACATGCACATGGGAGGGCTTAGAGGTGTGCAGGTCTATCCAGGCCCATGACAATGCCCATCCAGGTTTTTAAAAATGTAATATTATTTTTTAGATGATACATTCATATATTTCCCCCAGTATTTCATTAAGAAAATTTCAAACATAAAGAAAAGTTGAAAGAATTATACAGTGAATACTCACAAACCCAGCTACTAATGCACAATTGTTAATATTTTGCTATTTTGCTCTGTCAGGAATCTACCCATCTAATCCATCCCTCTATCTATCTATTTAAAAAAAATTTTTTTTCTTTTTTGTGACCGGTAAGGGGATCCCAACCCTTGGCTTGGTGTCGCCCGCACCGAGTGCACCGGCCATCCCTATATAGGATCCGAACCCACGGCGGGAGCGCCGCTGCGCTCCCAGCGCCGCACTCTCCCGAGTGAGCCACGGGGTCGGCCCCCTGTATCCACCTATTAATACAACTTCTTTGTTTTTAGCTTTTCAAAGTAAGTTGAAAACATCAGTATGCTTCAGCATGCATCTCATTAGATAGAGTTCAATATTTGTTTGTGGTTCTTTTTTTTTTTTCTGGAGGTAAAATTTATATACAATGAAATTCACAGATCTTAAAGGTATCATTTGTTGAGTTGAGACAAATTCATACCATACTTCAAACCCCAATCAGGATATAGAACATCACTATCACCATGGAAAGTTCCCTCCTGTTCTTTTCCTGCCAGTTCCCACCTCTATCTCATAGGCATGTTTATGTGTCTGAACAAATTAAATAGCACTAATAAGACATTCCTTTGTCTTGTCCTCCCTCCTAGCCCTGCTCCTTCAAAGCAACCACTTTCAACTCTTTTAATTATTTCTTCTGGTACTTTCCTCTATATTTTTAAATAACTTGCTTTTCCTGCTGTTTTCTTGGCTAATTTTAGGCAAATATTGATTGACTTTCCAGTCTGATATTGTCACAGTATGACCTCTGCAGCCTGACTGCCTGGCATCCTGGTCCTTCCCCTTACTGGCCCTGTGACCAGGGGCAAGTGACCTAACCTCCTCTGCCTGAGTTTTCTCATTTGTAAAATGAGAGTAGTAAGAATATTTAGGTTGCTGGTTTGTTATGAGGATTCAAGATGTAAAGTGCTTAGAATAAGGCACATCACCCAGTAAGTGGTCAAAATCATTTGTTCTTATGATTATAATTATCAAGGAAGATTTAACTTTTACTCACCCCCTCTTCCTTTCAACCTATAT